CCGCTCTTCAAGATGGATTCTCCCACCCGACGACAACTCGTGGTTGGTTTTCTATAACCGGCAAGGAAAAAACGACAGTTCTGCGGAGAAGCGTTCTGATTGGACGATCACTGCTGTCAATCACAACGCTGACCAATGACTTAGCGCAGCGCCTTCTTGTTCATGCCCTTGACACACAGGCAGGAACTCAGACAACCCCTTCTGCTTCTGTTGAGAACAACTTGTTCACTGCTCCCTAATCTCAAAACGACACAGCTGAGCTCGGATGAACAGCTACAGTTTAGTGTTGAATAATATTTCTAAGTGTTACTCTCGGAAATTGACTGACTGAATAATATTTCTAAGTGTTACTCTCGGAAATTGACTGACTGGCACTCAGAATTTCGTCAAATGCAACAGTTATAATACAGGTTTGTGTGAAAACGAACGGTCTGTGCAAAATACTCAAAGTGTAGATCTTACTATCTTTGTATGCACAGTACTGATGGATAAACGCATAAGGAGCTGTAATTAAAGACAATTTGTAGGCTGCGTTGATATTCATTCAGGCACTACTGTACAAGCCCATAAAATAATAAAATCAATACATCCCACCGATACGTGGCGGATTCGAAACAAATATCTATATGCTTACATACAGTTTTTATCGGGACTTTCAGATTCAACTGTGCTAAATAATGGGGCCATAATTTACTGTTATACTGAGGTGTAAGTCGTTCCTTTTATTTTATTTTATTTTTTTCACTAAAACCAGTATATAGGATAGTAGGCCTAAATAACAGACCATTTGAAATGAACTGGCATGTTTTGGTTTGTGACCATTGACATGATTTATGGTCCAGCCATTTACAGTACCTCTATGATCTCTTATCCTATGTGGGCCACAAAGACCTGATCCTATCCAATAACCATCAGCTTTTCAGTCTATTATTATGGCCCTCTGTCTCCACAGTAGGAAACACATACAGGACAGCAGACACTACAATTATGGTTAAGTATTGCAGACCAAATAACCTAAAGTCAAGTGCCCCGATTTCATTTAATCATCCATTCACATCTCAATAATTGCAATAAATATTTTTATATTTATTTTTCTTTAATTGCATAATTTCTGAGCTACTGTTCAAAACCACCGTTTTTTTTTTTTTTGTAAATCTGCATAATTTTAATTTAGGTTAGGAATCATGTCACCATTGAGAGAAGTGTTCTACAGAACAGAGGCTTTATAAATAATATACTAACTTTACCAGAAAGCAAAGAAACCAGATTCTTAGTGCTGAAAATATATTTCATCATTATTGAACATATTTGTAAAAAAAATTACACAGTTTGGTATTTCTTCCCTTTTTTCCTGTGGTCATTCTGCTTCTTCCACAAGGGCTCCTTCACATATTTTAGGCTTGTTTGGGCTGTTTTTGATCAGCCAGTCAGCAAGCCAAATCTATTGAAAACAGAAGTGCAGGACAAGAGAGCAAGATATATCAGGAACCAAAGCTCAATACCACCAAACACAGTAAGAGTAATAATAACAGTGGTAAATAATGGCTAATGAATACATCTGTTCATATCTCAAAATACTGGGCATTGAATACTTACACAGGGGTTGTGAGGCTTGTGCTTGCAGAGCTCAGTGAGTCCATGCAGCAGAGTTGGGTTGACATACTTGCTTAGGTATTCCTCACTTGCTTCTCTTGAGGGAAATGGCTCAATTACAGCTGTAGAGGCATAGCATGTTGGGTACAGAATCCTAAGTGTCCAAATTTCTGTATGAATAACAGTACATGTGAGTGTGTATATTACTTACAGTTTGGGAACATGAATTTTATCTCCCTTTCAGCTGCGTGAAATGAGTCACTGCCATGGAGGGCATTTTTCAAGTCTGAAGTGCCATATTTTGCTCTAAGGCTGGAAAAAATACAGAACATTCATAAAAAAATACTCCTTAGACTGACATGAGCACAAAGCTTTACCTTTCTACCTTAAATAAACACAGCAATCATGATACCAACAAATGACCTGCATTTGTGGGACATGGTGAACTATGTCCTGATAATTCAGAGGTCTATTCGCCGATTATTATGACTAATAAAAGTCAGAGGCTAGGGTCTAGAATCACAAGCAATTTTGTGTATGAGAAACTATCAGATGAATACACTCTGAACAAAAACCACAGATAATATTGTGAGGGATAAAATCATAGGATGTTAACAGTATTTTTGACCAAACATTCATATTGTGTTTAATATGCATTTACCACAGTGCTCTCTGCCTAAGTCTGTCTGACCAAAGGATTGGTGCCATAATAATGCGGAAATATTCAAGTAATATGGACATGCTAACATGTTAATATATGTGGGACATGTTCAGAATTTATATTTTGGTAAAGGAATTAATAGCAATTAGAAACATTACGTGAACTCATGGTCTGTTTTACTTCAGCCAACCTCTGTTTCTAATGCATTAACAAGAACTAAAATAACTTGTATCAACTTATGAATTATGGATTTATGTATAGACTATAAGCCAGGTTTGCAGGCACACCATACTTTTCCACCATCAGCCTTCCTTGGCAGTTCATTGATAATAATAATTATTCATATGGCATACATATTTAAAATAATAAAAAACAGCAATAACAGCACTTAAAGCTGCATTAACTAACTTCTCCCTCTAATGTTCGACCGTTAAGGGCAAAGTGAGAGTCAAAACAAACTCAAACATTATCTCCTCCACTTCTCCTCCTTCCCTCTCCTGCCCTGTCTGTGAAACTATGTTATATGTGGTCACAACAGCCATTGACAGTTGTGGCAGTCGGATAGCGCAGCCATAATAATCAGCTCCAGAACTAATGTATACAGAATATAGAGTCAGAGGTTTTCGGTGGAATTGCAGTGACACAATATCAAATAAAGAGTTTTACATTTTAGCAATATGCATATGTATGTCTAATGTTGTTTGTAGTGGATGTGTCTGCACTAACACAAGCAAATTATACAGAGGGATGTCTTTTCCTAGTAACAATGATACAGTACTAATGTTCAGGCCACTATTGCATCATGTTCAGTGTTATATACTTGACACACATAATGTTATAAGGTCACTAAAATGCTATATGGACTACAGTGTTATGTCCAACATAAACTGGACCAAAACCGGGCAAAAATTTGCAAAATTATTTCACTTGCTAATCCAGGAAAACGCACTGGTTTCTGCTCAATGGACAACAAAACACTAACATTGCAATCAGTTGGAAATACTCCAAATTACATCTAGAATAATTCATTTGAAATGCTAATGTTAGCTTGCTAATGATGCTGACATATACACGTTAGTCAGCTACAGTACTTAGGCATCTAGTAGGAAGAAAGCCACATCTGAGTCAAATTTTAGTACTTTGGGTGCTTCTGATGCTCTCCATCTCTGACATGCCAAACTAATGTTAACACTGGTTTTGCCTTGTTCTTTGTCATACTCTTTATGTGCTACAGAACATGGCCTTTTGGGTCTAACAGGCCCACTCCCATCCTGGGTTGTACATACATAGGGATCTTCTACGGCTCATCTCTGAAATAAGCCATACTGGTTTGAAAAACTTCTTCTATGCCTCAGATCAGTGGGGGCATGGAAGAAGTGTGGTGCGGATTTTAACAACCCTGCCCAAAGAGGCGAAGAGGTAAACACAGGGCCTGAAGATAACAGAGTGGGGTGGGGGGTTTAGTACAACAGAGAAAAAACACTTCTAGACAATTTTTTGATTTATAAAAGTTTGTGCTAAATCTTAGTTAATGTAGCTTTAAAGAAGCAACAGACAAAGTAAAGTTTAAATCAACACCTTATAAATGAACAGACTGACCATTCTGGATGACTTTCTCTGGCCTTTGTGCTGTTGACAGGCCCTATGATGGACTTCCAGTGGGCAACAGCATTGTCACGGGCCAGACTCAGGGCAACAATGGGGCCAGAGCTCATGAATGCAGTTAAAGTGGGAAAGAACAGCTTTCCATAATGGTCTGCGTAGAAGTCACTGCATTGCTCTGGACTTAACTGCAGCCTCCGCTTCTGCCACAAAGACGAAATATTGGACAATTCAGTGAAATGTGCAGAGAAAGCAGAATCAGATTTTGCAGATTAGAATTAATCCAAACCATTTTTCTCAAACCACCCAGGTGAGTCATTTTTTTCAGACCTAATTCTTCTATTATTTCTATATAATTCACAAAATTACTACTGATAACATCCAAAATATATCATTTTTTAAAATTATTTGTCTGGAGTGTGACCATACTGAGTGCAACACTATGAGCACTTTCAGGTAGAAAAACTATGTAATGGCAAGCAGTTTCTCTATTGTCTCAAAAATATCTTTGGTACTTCCTTATTGCCATTTCCTATGCATCAGCTAAATATATATAAAAATAACAATATGCCTGTGATAAACTACCAACTATCATTCATGTATCATCCATGCTCTACACAAAATTGGAGACACGCCTGTTTATGTTAAAGCATAAAATAAAAGGCAAACAGAATAAAACACATTCTGTACAGTATATTCTGTACTAATTTACATACATGCATATTTTACAATGCATTAGCCTATAACTCACCTGCAGGATAATGAAGCCCGATTTGAGAATAATGTCCTCAATCTCCCCAACTTTCTTTATGGCATCTGGTTTAATTAGAGCTAGAGTTCTTTCCACGTAAATACGAGGATAAGAAGTTTGGTCCATATTCTTTTATGCCACAAAAAATGTAACTAGTTCTATATTAGCCTATAAGTTAATGTAGCGAACTAATGAAGTTCCGACGTTTACCTCGGGTCCAGCAACTAAACACTTAACGTAGGCAGTAATCAGGTCAGCATTAGTAATGATGAGATTACATTAAACACACTATTTTTGCTAAAGTTGGTAAGTAACCTAGTTATTGATTTAAAATATAAAAAAGTGTAAAAATGTCAAAAGCGTTTACTAGCTCATTAAACTAGCCTCTTTTTCGGTTAGTATTCATGTTGCTAGGATACCATAACAGTCTACGGCAAGCCAAGCAAAACAATCCACACATGTAAATAATGCGGTGAAAAACTCAACCTCGCCTCAAGTAAACGCTTTCTCACTTGGCTATTTCTGGGAAACGGGATGAAGGGGGTGGGTGGCGTTCGTCAGTCAAACCGCTGCAGTCTGTAATAGCTTACTGTCCATCAGTTCTGTGCGTGGACTGACCTGAGGTGGCTCACGCGTATGATATCGTATAGACGTTTCTTCAGGGCATGAATGTTCCTTCCGTTTAGAGTAAAAGACACCAGTCGCAGACTTTCCCTCGAAACTGCAGGTAGACTTTACTCGCGCAAGTAAATCTCAAAACCGTGACTCCTGCACCCTCTGAGCACTTCAAGGACAGGAACATATGGGGGGCGCTTCCAGCAGTTTGAGTGCGAACAATAACCACTTGTACCGCAGGTTTTAGCGTGCACCACATTAGTCAAGATTTTGCACGTAAAAATATTAAGTTACATTCAACACTTACAGACGTTAAAATCAAATGGCCAAAAATGATCGTTATGTACAAACTTCACTTTTTCTTAGACCGTTAATCACGTTTTAAATAAAGCCTTTACTTCAGTCCTTGTTTTGAGGTGTGGAATGCACTGTTGTCCCTACTGATTGTTATACAGTTTTCAAGTTTAACAGTTTTATCTGCAATAAATTTATTACTGCATACAACATATATAAAGGATATACTGCGTTAAAGCCAAGACAGCACACACGCTCTTTTCAAATAAACAGTCTTTTATTCAAAGTTGCTTCTGCAAAAAGTTCTTATCGAGTTCCAATAGTGACCTGCCACACTCTGATCAGGTTGTCGGTGTAGCCAGCAAACAGGGTCTGTAAAATACATAAAGGACAGAAGTCAGTCATTTCAGGATCCCAGTTTTTTCCCCACACACCACAGAAAGTGTGTTTCTAGTACCCCTCATATTTGCAGGACTGTCATCAGCTGACATCAGAGTTATAAGTGAATGGGTATAATCACTGGGGGTAAACATTAAACCGCTAACCACTGGGATAGCTAGAATCTGTACTTAAAGATCCTACAGAGACAAATGTGTTGTACCTGTCCATCAGCAGACCATGCCAGAGAAGTACACTGTGGGGGCTCGGCCTTGCTGTTTGTGCTGATCACTTCCTGTCTCAGCTCATCCACAATGATTTTGCCCTCTAGATCCTAAATTAAGAGAAGGAAAACTAAAGTCGATCAGTAAGCACACAGAGGTGAATAAAGGATCAATGACTGAAGTTAAGGCACTCAAATTAATTACACATAGACAAATTTATCTTGGTTGGAGCTCAGAAACAGCCTCTTTATCATCAAAGAATGCAGTTGGCATGTTGTTTCATCACTGCCCTTTCCATTTATAGCTTATACTGTTCATGAAGTATTTAGGATGAAGGCTTTTTTTTACCCAGATCTTGATGCTGGGACCAGTGGCGGCACACAGCCAGTAACGGTTGGGGCTGAAGCAGAGGGCATTGATGATGTCACCACTGTCCAGGGTGTAGAGGTGCTTGCCCTCATTCAGGTCCCACAGCATGGCCTGGCCGTCCTGAGTGGCAAGAGAAAAAGTATGACTCAATAGCCATATTTCATAGTTCACAACTAGGAGTATTTTCCCCATAGATAACACATCTGCAGCACTAACAACCTTTTTAAGTGTAGGTAGCTCTCAGAAACAGCCTCTTTGTCATCACTGTTAAACAGAAGCTTATGTTTTCATCACTGCTGAAACTTGAAAGCTGGCTTTGTCGAGTTCATAATGAAAGAAGAAAGATCCAAAACCATTGCTTAAATGAGTGCCTTTGTCGAGTTCACAATGAAAGAAGAAAGATCCAAAACCATTCTGACAAGTTCATATCATACCTTTCCACCAGATGCACAAAGGGAGCCATCAGGAGAGACAGTCACTGTGTTCAGGAAGCCAGTGTGGCCGATATGGTTGGTCTTCAGCTTGCAGTTGGCCAGGTTCCACACCTAGGAGCAAAGGACAGGAAAACTTCATTACACCCATGAGGTATATAAACCTTCATACAAAAGTTCTTTTGGTTGTGCCCTCATCATAAGAAACATTTTCATCAGTGAGAAGGTCAGATAATACATGCCAGTTATTCAAATCATTGGGCTTAGGATTAGGTTTCATTTAGATTCTTCTTTATAACTTATGGGAGTTTTACAAACCACATACTTTGACCATCTTGTCCCATCCACAGGAGACTATGATGGGGTTGCTGCTGTTAGGGGAGAAGCGCACACAAGACACCCACTCAGAATGGCCCTCATCCTGCAAATTAAGACATACAATGCAAGATTGTCCGGTTACCCATTATAGTGATTTGGCTTTGTAAACAGCAAGGTGAAATTATTACCACATGTGATCAGGTAAGCAAGGTGAAAAACACAAACCGAAAAAAACAAACAAACAAACAAAAAAAAACAACAGATGTGTACACTGAAGTGTTTTGTTGGAAAGCAATGTTTCCAATGATGACCGGTGAGCAACACATTTCCTTTTGATATCAATTTGAACTGTAACTGGAAAAACTCAAAATTTTACAGGGATCCACTAAAATCTAACTCCACTGACAGAATGACTGATCCTGACAGACAGCACCATGAGCTGGCAGCTCACCTGGATGGTGTACTTGCAGACTCCAAGAGTGTTCCACAGCTTGATGGTCTTGTCCCGGGAGCCAGACACAATCTGGCGGTTATCAGCAGAAAAGGCCACACTCAAAACATCTTTGGTGTGTCCAACAAATTGGCGGGTGGTGAGGCCACTGGGGAAACATCACACCAAATATTTCAGATCAATAAAACTGTTGCACAACTTAAGACACAATATGGAAACAATATCGCTGCAGATACACTTTAACTATTCCAAATGATAAAAACATTTAAAAACCAAGATAATTTTCCTCCAACCAATTTCACAAAATAGGTGAATATTTTCTAGCAACACCTCAATAAAAAAAACAAACAAACAAAAAACCCCCTCACAATAAAGAACAAAACAAAACACAGCAACAATGACAAACAAAACAAAAAACAACAACCTTAAAACAAATTGTGACCTACTGAAATACACATATGTACACCAAGCAATAAAGGCCAGTCAGTACAAATCATCAACCCCGGAGGCTATGCTTGGTGATGGTTAAGGAAAGTATGGTGTACTCCGCTCATTAAGTTCCAATAGTAGAAACACAGCAACGGTGAAGAGATTTTCATCTTTTATTCTACAACAGAAACATGTCAGAAAATACCCACGTGCGATTTTTAAAGCCTTTATGTTTTAAAAAGTTGCTAACAAGTGGCTAAATGAGATGCAGAGGTTGTCCAGGATATTAAATGTCATCCTATCCATCACAGAGACTAATCTACTCACTAGTTCTTCACCTTTACAGCCTTATTGTTTTTAAATTCACACACACCTATAAACTATTCTTAAGGTCTTTTCGCACTGGAGGCGTATTTTTTGTATGTTTTTTGTCCCCCCACACGGCAGTAATATTTTCAAACCAATATTCTGTCAATGAGCCCTTACACATCAACAACAGAACATCACTGAGTAAAAAGCAGTATTTTTTCCCCCGCCCATGGTTGTTGTTTTTTTCCCCTCCAACTTTTCACCAGCGACAGGAACACGACAAATCACAATGCAGCTTTCTGGAATGCTGCAACATTGTTACCGTAAATGCATAGTGCGCCCATCAGCTAAACCTACGGATTTATTTATTATGGTAGCTTTCAGTATATATTTTACCTCAAACACAGCCAAGTGCTAGTCTGGGTTGACTGGGTCAATGTAATCGCTGCTCTGCCCCTTGAAATGTTGTGGCAGCAGCAAACTGTCCTCCAGACATACTAAAGTAGGTCCAAAAATGACAATGGTACAGTGTCAACCAGATGCACCAAGCACTGAAACTTTCCAAGTGACCTTTTTATTGGTATAGGATGCACTCCTTGTATTTAGCAGAACCATCACCTGCAGGTCATCGTCACTTGATTTGGACTTTTGTAGTGTGACCTTTTAGAACTTAACACTCTATAATCACGTTGAGTTTGGTGTGAATATATGTATATATACATATATATTTTTAAACTGCCTCCAGAAAAAATTGCTATCTGTATCGTTTATTTGCATTACTCTTATTATGAAAAGACCTTATCTCACACGGCTGAGATCACTAGATCCAGTCACATAAGAAAAGGTGAATGTGGAAGTGCACCAAATCGAAGAGCAAGTTGGAAGCTTAGTGGTGGTAACACGAAGCTGTGGTGTAGTTTGTTTGTAGCCTAACAATAGCTTTTTACTTTTGGCGACTATACTGAGTGCTATAGGGATGACGTATTTTTGTAGGCCAAACCGGAAGTTAGCATCACCCTGGTTCCCAGGATAAAAAGCCAATGGGATTTTTCCATAGGCTTTTGGATTACTGCGGAAAATAAGCTCTGTGACAAACAATGATTTATGATGCTTGCACATTTTGCTCAGCATGATAATCTTCACAAGTGAACACTGTTTTTATGCTTCTGAAGCCCGGAGAGACCAGGGAACCAGGATGATGCTAACTTCTGGGTTGGCCTATGAAAATACATCATCCCTATGGTACTCTCTGGTGCACTTAGTTGTATCAAGGTCTGGCTGACAAACACATTAGTAACAGCAGCTTATCACAATGTGCATTTAATTTCCAGATCTTAACAGCATTTAATACAAGCTGGTTAAGCCAAATGTTTCCAGAGACATTTTTAACAACACAGGTGGCTACTAATGCTAATTACTAAGGTGGTCAGTGAAACTGGCCACACAAATTGAGCTGTTTGTAAGAGACTGACCTATTGACAGTACAGAGGAGGGCTTTATACACACCTGGTGTAGCTCAGCCATGAATGACTCATTTAACTGATGTTAAGGTGACAGCACTCGGTGTACCCAGAATTCCTTGCAGGCATAAAAAAAACCCCCCTCTTTGTCTGTGGTCTCATTGGTGTTCCACATGAACACATACAGACCATCTACCATAACCCTGCAGGGGAATCAGCTTTCCTCATTGTCTCTCAAACATCTGAGTAGTTCTGAAAAGAAAGCCACTCCTAACACTTACGTGGTGAGATCCCACAGGCGGAGGGTCCCGTCCCAGGCACCAGACAGGGCAAACTGTCCATCTGAGGAGATGACAACATCACTTACAAAGTGAGAGTGGCCCTTCAAGGAGCGCTGGGGGATGCCATAGTTGGTTTCATCACGAGTCAGCTTCCACATGATGATAGACTTGTCTGAAATACAAACATTCAGGTCATTTTTATTACTCAATGCCGATATTTCAGTCAGTGAATAGCAGATATACTGAACATTAGCATGAACGTTAGCATTGTGGAAGTGCATTTTCCCACGAAAATGTCATACATTTAATCAAAATGTCACCTGGCACACTCTATTACGATTAGAGGTGGGTTGTTGCCAAGTTCACACGTTTATGCATGTAACTACACATGTGTACGTTGTTAAAAGTGTCACGGATGCAATATGGGTTTGTAAAGCTAATTTACAGATAATGCGACATGGTGTTAGCTTAGCTAATCAGGTCTACTGCTCCAGATCGAGCAGTTCTGTCAGTGTAAAAATTTGTCATACATTTCATGCCAACGTGGTTGTTTACATATCATTTACTTGCCACTCACACTTGCATAGCCGTTTTTTCTTACGTTACAGCAGCAAACAAACTAGCTAATACTATCATAGCCATATTGCCGGGGCCGGCAGGGGAAGCCTCACCTCGGGACGCCGACAGAATCATGTCGGGGTACTGGGGAGTAGTTGCGATCTGGGTGACCCATCCACTGTGCCCCTTTAGGGTCCCCCTCACTGTCATCTGCTCGGTCATTTTAGCGAGATTCGGTGTTGCCTTTTACAAGGATGGATTCGGATTTTGCAAAGGTCCAGTAAAACCTAGATCCTCATCGCACCTGGGCACAGAGGAAAAGGAAGTTCCAACCCGGATACAAAAGCTAAGAGGGGTGAGCAAGCCGCAAAGGATCCTGGGAAATGTGGGTTTCATATCATCGATGTATTAAAGGAGAACTCCATATATTTGCCTACAGTTATTTTTTTTTCCTGAGGAGCTAGATTTAATTTAGCAGTTGCATCAAAAAGGACATGCAGTGCATTTTGATGCTTTGTCCAGAGCTTTTTGTATAAATGAGAAAATTTCACATTCATAAAAAAGAAATGGGCTGAGTGAAATAGCAATTTTTAGACAAACATCTTAACAATATGGCACCCTGATTATAGACCCTAAAACTATGAGATTGCATATTATTTTTTAATATATTGATAAACAGGGTATTATTTTAATGGATTTGTTTGTTCTTCTGTTTTCATTAATTGACTAGCATATGTATTTATTTTTGTGCTGTGGCTGTATCTTTGGTTTGAACAGTTTTGTTTGTAGGCTGCATAATGGTTCATTTACATACCGATGATAAGAAACAGAGGGAAATAATAATTCATCTATGCTTTTACCATACATTGGTATGAGAAAGTGTATCAATCCTGAATAATACCACACCCACCTATCAATGAATGCAGTTTAAAGAAAAACTGTAAATACCATCTCATTCAAATTCAACATTTTTGAAATAATCAGTGCATGTAGTTTAAATATGGATATGCTACCAAATGTAACATCCATCCATCCATTTATGACCTCTACCATTTGTCCCTGAGAGGGTCACATAGGGGCTGGAAGCAATCCCAGTCAACATTGGGTGAGAGGTGGTGTACATCCTGGATAGGTCACCAGTCTGTTACAAGGCTGACACACAGAGACAGACAACCACTCACATTCACACCTACGGGAAATTTAGAATGGCAAATTAACCTAACCTATATGTCTTTGGACTGTGGAAGGAAGCTGGAGTACCTGGAGGAAACCCACACAGGCACAGGCAGAGCATTCAAATGCCACACAGAAAGGCCCCCTTTGGAGGAACGTTTGAACACAGAACCTTCTTGCTGTGAGGTGACAATTCTAGCCACTGTGCCACCATGTTGCATACTCCAATTGTAACACTTAAAAAACAAAAAGACAAACTTCATATATTAATGCTAAATGACCAAAAACTAATATTACATGTACAAGAAACCATAAAACCAGAGTTTATTTCAGTCTACATGTTTAGTTAACCAGTTTTCACATTATACATTTTTAAGTAATTACAAAAATAGCTTAATTCTTTTACAAACAAATGCACAACCAAAAAACATTCCGACAAAGTCAAACTAATAGTGTCGTATATATTTTGCTAAAATACCAAACTGTAGACCTTGTGCTGTTTACTGACTGAAACTGATAGAATCTGCAAAAGAAATAAACACATATAATAATGTTAAGTGACAGATAACCATCAGCTTCCTGTAAAATAATTCCAAGACCTGCACAATCTGCAGTTAATCCATTCTGCTTTCAATATCATTTCTCAATCAACACTATCATGATTGCATGTCAACTAGTCTATCTTAGCCTTATGATATGCAACTCATTTACAGATCATTGCTAGAATACCTTTAAGATATTTGAGGCACTGATCTTTCTTACAACACTCTTTTGAAGTAAAAAAAAAAAAAAATCAGTGAGACTGCCCACCAGATTTATCCCACTGATATGGAAATTGTTTCATGTGATGTCAGTTGCCACTTTGCAGGTGTAATATAGAAGGGCCTTTGGAAAAATGAAGCTGAGATGTTGCATGTTGTCATTTCAGACCTATACAGGAACTACCACTGCAGGGATATGTGGCCTACATCATGACTATTGCAACATAACATGGTGGATATTTTTAAGAACAAAAAAGTAAATATTACAACTCACTGTGTTTTCTGGATCCAGCAGGCACTGAACCAACAATGTTATCCTTCTACTGCATTGCCCTTTGTGGAAATATACCTAATTAGAATCTCAAGTTCCATTTTCACACAACTAATACATTTTTATTCTGAATTTGAAGATCTTGGTAAAAATCATACTTTAAAAAATATACTTATAACAACATTAACCTGACCCTGTTTAAACTTTTCAAGTGTTGCTATGTTTGTGGGCAAGAACTGACAAAAGAAAAATGTTTAGCAGCTGACATGTTAATGGTGACTGTAGTCAAATATTTGGAAACAATTCATCAGTGAAGCTAAGTCCAATTTCTATCTTTTTCTTTCTACATTTTTTTGAAATGATGATTGTGAATCTGTGAAAATGTGTATGTTGTTACCATAATCTGTATACATATGCAAAGTAGAGCTTTAAACAGGTATATAAAAGTTTTTTAAAAAAGTATTTAAGCACCAATAAAAGATTCCATCTGAGAAAAATGTATTACAAAGACTGGCACACACTAACAAAGATCATCTGCTAGCCAAGTTTACAACTTGATAACAAAGAAAATGCACAGAAAAATGCACAATAACTGACCGTTATAAACCACTATGGTGTATTGCAGAATTAAAGAGTTGTTTCCACATTTGTTTAAAATACTTCATGTCATACTTCTGTCAGTTAGTCCTTCAGTCAATATTGATTGAAAAACATCAAACAAGCATACAGTCAAGTCAGCAGCAAGAACTTGTACGGTAGTCCAGAAAAACAGGTGACAGCAATTAAATGTGTTTTCATCTATCATTAAAAGATAATGATCTGTCACACTGAAGATTACTGAAAAATGCATTTGATTAGTAATCACTTAATGCAACTAAAAAACAACTAGTCTAATGTTGGAACTGATCAGCTCCCTGGTTGAAAACACTGATTTACCATGAATACTGTAAATGGTTCCTTTGAATCTGGCCTTGAATTATTCCAAAACATGTCAATGCACAGGAATGCAAAATGTAACTTGACAAAACTAGGTAAGAATATAACAGAATCAAACAAAACAACACACAAGTCACAACTGCCATAAGTATAAAGTATAAAACAGTTGACTTATTGACATTTCTGAAAGACTTGTGCAGTTGGAAACACTAATAAAGACTTCTTTTTGCAAATAGAAATGATCTCTTATCAATGAGGGACCACAAGTCATACAAGCTGTCAGGAGGCTAAACAAGGCTGTTATAATCATGCATTTAATTAGTTTAAACCTTCGCAAAGAGCTATACAAGAAATCACAATAACACGTTATATTCATCTGTGCATTAAATCCTTCCTTATGTGCCAGTGACGCCAGTGACTCCCATATCACTTCAACTGGTGTGTCTTTGCTTCTCAGGTAGCTGTGATAATGCAGTGTTCTCTGTCGCCCCCTCCTGGAGAGTTTCCAAAACTGAGGATCTGAGTGTTCAGTAAGACACCGTTGCATTTTATGGCTCGCTCTGCTTTCTAAAAAGCAAACTCTGCCCCTCATGCTCTCTGCCGGTTCATGTGTCCTTTCTACACCAGGCCTGTACCTCTTCAGGGCTGAGAGAGACGCTTACGTTTGAGCTTCTGCCTTGTCATCTCCTTCTTTCAGAAAATAGAGAGAGAAGAAGACAGTAGTGATCCACACTTGTCCATCCGCCAAGAGATCTGTCCATCCATTCAAACATCTATCCATCTGTAAGACTGGGTGAGTGCGCACAATGTCATTCCCAAACAGCGTTCATGATCACAATCAGGCAGCAAATCGGACTGTTAGTAAGGCACTCTTCCACTTCACTGTCTTTCAAAGTAGGAGTCCCACTGTCAGTTGAGTTTCTTGTCTTCAAAAGCACAGCTGCATTTTTAACACTAGATTTCTAGTTTTAAAAAAGTTTTCATAATACTGTTGACTTAAAAATGTCCTAGTTAAAAAAAAAAATTCAATATATTATATAAAATGTTTTAATAAAAAAAGGAAAAAAGGGAGTGAGCCATTTGTTGTAGTATTCAATTACAATATATACCATATCAGTATGTACAGATTCCATGCTGTGGGTTAGTCATCACTGCAAAAGAAGAAGAGTAGAGTCTGATTAGTAGGACTGTACCATATCAAATCAAAATCCAAACACAAAGTCTTTGTATTAAAATACTTCAGATGACTTCAGATACTCATGCTTTACAACTACTGTACATGCTCACACACTGTGAAATACTTACAAAGTGCCCCTGTGCCAAATCAGAGGAAATTTAATTTAATGCTGACAAACCATGAGTAATAAACTCAGTATATGCTTTGACTGCGTTAGCTGTTCTCTAACCATGCCAGCTGCTGTCTCAAAATCAGAAGCTAATAATTTCATTTGTTCATATGTATAAAAAAAATGTTACAACTCTTAACGCTCACCTTGTGCCAGCAGCCTGGTATAGGCAGTCCGTCGTGTCCCTGCAGGATAAAAACAACAGTTACAAAGTCAGAAAATACCTACTGATGCATGTTGAAATACACATTATAGCTCTGCATCAATATCTAAGTATTAGTAGTAATGGCAATAATGTCTAAGGTGTGCACAACCTATCAGCAAACTGCTGTTAGAAATGAAATAATAACAAGCCTGTAGTCTTATATTCAGTGGACAGACATGAGAGTGTTATCAAGCATGTCCTGTATCTCTCCACCAGAAAGCAGACATTATTTCCAGCTATTAGTTCCTTCTACTTCATGTGTATTCTTATATTTGTGAGAATAGACTGCCAAAACACAGTTTTTCTTATCTGTGAATGCTTGTATTTACAAGGAAGTAAGGACTAGTGATCGACAGCGCATAAACACCAGAGTTAAAGAGAAATCAAATAGGAAAGTCTTTGAATAGAAAACAGCAACAATAGATGCATCACTAGTGAAGGGAGAAAGGAGGCAGAGATACTGTACCACAGGACAGGGGGCCTCAGGGCCAGAAGGAGGAAGAGGAGGAGGTGGAAGTGAAGAGAGCACTGCCTCCACAGACTGACCTTTAGTGTCATCACAGCCCTGTCAGCAAGAGTCAGGTAGACATTCACAACATTGAGGAGGAAACTCAGCGAAAAGCATAGGAAATGACAGAAACGGTGCCGCGAGCAGAAAGCAGGAAAATACTGAATGTGTAACAGGTAAGAAGAAAATAGTAACAAGTAAATCAGTTCCAGTGTGAAATATTATACTGTGTGCGTGTGTGTGTGTGTGTGTGTGTGTGTGACATACCACAGGACAAGGCTGGTCTAGCCCTGGAGGGCCCTGCTCTCCCTTCTGGCCCTTTAGACCTTTCTTTCCCACTGTTCCCCTGTCACCCTGAACATGAAGAGGAGAGCAGTCTGACACACAAACTCATAAACCTATCACACAAGACAGTTAACTGCAGGTACACTGTTTTTAGGAGCACTTACTACGTGAAGACCAGGCTAAACCATTTGTGTCATTAAAAATCACTACATGTCCAGTGTGGGTCAAATAAAGTTAAGTGTTGCTGTTAGACAAGGATTATTATGCATAAACAAGGCTGCTAAAAAAAGATGCAATAACCTGGATGAGAATAAAAACAACTGGTTGTAGTTTAATGAAGATAATACAATATTTATGTGTTCTGTACCAACCTTCTCTCCTTTTTCCCCTCGGTCACCTTTCTCTCCCGACAAACCTGGAAACCCCTGGACACAGAAGCACAAACATGTCAGAAGATAGCTTATCACTGGATGCTGTTTAAAGTTTGATTACACTGATAATGGTCTGATTTAAAATGTCACTGAGAAACTCACATCTAGTCCAGGCTCCCCTGGCCTGCCCTGTCATCACAAATGTACACATATACGTAAATCATAATTCTATTTAGAAACCACACAATGCAAATGCAATGCAAAACAAACAAACAAAAAGCAGATTTATGGATGGAAATTATTTCGTTTCTACCTTTTCTCCCTTTGCACCTGGAAGACCCACCAACCCTGAAGATCCAGGTGGACCCTGGAGGCCGTCTAGTCCCTGCAGTTAAAATAAACTGTCACCATTGTATCATGTCCACATACTGTAGTTCATGTTTTATTAAAAAAATAAAGGCCAAGTGTCCCTCACCCTGGATCCAGGAGAACCAGTGTCCCCCTTCTCTCCCTTGATCCCAACTCCAGGCTCGCCCTGCATTACAGCATAGGAACACTGAGTACCACGCATGTCAGAGCCTCCACACCACATGCAGACTGGGCTAGATACATGACCTCACATTCTTACCTTAGGACCAGGCATGCCATGCAGGCCCTGAAAAGCATTATTTGCAGTGAGACTGTGACAGCTACAAGTGCAAATAACAATTGTGACTAGTTTCTATCAGGGCTGGGATACTGACATTCTGTAAGGACTCACCGTGGATCCAGGGGACCCGGGAACTCCTGGTGGGCCAGGTGGACCAGGTAGACCCGGCTGGGAAATCATCTGAACCTGAGCACCATTGAAATCACATGAGTCAAGCCAGAGCAGGAAGCTCATACTGGCAGAGTGTAACTTAAGTCATGACCAGAAGTGAGTCACTGGTTATGGGACCATACCAGTAATTTTGAAAGTTTAGCTTCTCAGCTACAAATCATACGACTGCTGATTATTTCAGCATTATTAGTCATTTATGTATTATCAGATCTGTTTGTTTCTGTTGTTTCATTTCCACAGTGAAAATCATTTGACACAGCTTACTTGAGATGTGTGTTCCATCGTAATGACTATTAGGTCAGCATTCATTTTTCTTTTCAAAGTTGAAGTTTAAGTGCAGGGTAATGTCAAATGGCTGCACTGTATCAAACCTTGTGGTAACTGATCCATATATGTCTGCACTGATCCATACTGTACACATGTCTGAGTGACCGTCGAGGTCATGTGATGAACTGACCAGGTTGTCATCCAGCCTGCAGTCGCCTTTTTCTCCTTTCTGTCCATCGATACCCTGGCCCAAAAGGAGAAAGATGAACTTTCAGTTGTTTGTACTTTGCATGCATGTGTATCACAGAAACATGTTTGCTGTCACTACTCACAGCAGGCCCAGAGAGTCCCATCTCTCCCTTCTCCCCTCTTTCACCAGGGGGTCCTACGTCACCCGTATCACCTTTAGTTCCCTGGAGGTGATGAACCAAGAATGAATCTCATATTTGGCATAACGACAAGTAGTGAAAAAAGTATGTTCTCAGACAAACATATCTGTTTAAAAAAAAAGAGTAAATAATCATACAATACATTTAATCAGCATATTAAGACACTGTCTCATACCTGCTCCCCGTCAACTCCTGCTGGCCCAGGTAAACCCAGCTCACCCTGGAAGTAGACGAAAAGTGGAAAGATTTAGTCCCTAGATGAATATGACTGTGGTTTGCACTACTAGTACATTGGTAACATGACAGGAGAGCTCAGACTGCCTTACCTTTTCCCCTGGACGGCCTGGGGGTCCAGGTGGGCCTGGTGGGCCCTGGAGAAAGACAGAAATTGACATATATACAGATAAACTTTATACTGCAGCTAATTTTAAACCGAACAACAATTCACAAAACAAAGCATCTCTTCATTTAGTTCAGTTTGGCTCTGCAACAATTTACTGAAAAGATATTTGGCTCTTTTGCTATTAATCATTCCAACTACAGTATGTCCACCAGCTCGTCACTAGCTGTGTGCGCCGGTTGCCAGTTGAGTTGTGTGTTGGAAAACAAAGACCTGAAAGCAGTTAGAGTATAAAGCTTCAGAGAACGGAGGGGGCATCAGATTGGGTGATAAGTTTCTGTGGGCTCATCACTATGAGCGGCCGCTTTCAGGTCATAGTCAGGTGACTAAATAGTTTTTCACAGTGATATAAAAGCTGGGAAATTACACCATAAGACCTGAACCAACACAAAACAAGGCCGATGGATTTCACAGTGCTGCCCTGACAGCAAACAAAGCAGATTACTTTTTTGTTCACTCTGTTTGCAGATCACAACCAGCTTGAAGCAATTTTCAATCTAACAGACTGTAAAATAGTTTGTGTTACACAAAAGCCTGGCCTCATTTTTCATTTTCTTGATTGCACTCATGCAGGATGAGTTGGACAAAAAAAAAACCACTAATGTGACTTTATGTAACAACGATGGAAGTGCATGCATGCAATATTCATGCCATGCTGTCTCCTGTGCTGTCCGATGACTGACAGGTCCCTTCAATCACGTTCCTGATCTCTACTGTGTTACACTTGTTACTTCTCCCTCTGAAGTCCTCTACCATCTTGAAGTAATAAAAAGGAAAGCATGTTGCCTTGCAGAGGTGTACATGCTGATTCTTTCCAACCTCTTATTTGTCCTCCATTAAAACCATGGAAACCAACAGGATGTTTAGTATGTTTGAATGTTTATTATTTGATATGAGATATTCTATCATTAAAAAGTGAAGGCTACTCATGCAAATAATTATACAAAAAGCCAGAAAATGAATGATAGTGTGGAATGATAGTAACAAACAATCCATTTCAACATGGTTCTAAACCACATTTATCACCCCTTAAACTTTCACCACAGATGAAACCAATAAAGCCTTTCATACAAACAAGTGAACAGATCATAACACAAGCTGGGTGGCCAGTGAGCAATCCTTGCTTCAAGGATATAACTCTCGCGCAGCGATATGGTATCAGCTGATCCACGTTGGCGAGAGGCTTCTGATAAGATCTAAGGGTCGTGTTTTCACTGACTCCTTTGTAACTATCTCACGCTGCTGTCTAATGCGTTGCATGCAGGAGCCCATTTCAGATCAGGTCTGACGGGATGGGGTTCAAAGTGGATTTTAATCAAATGCACTCCTCTGAGGAGATAGACATCTGTTATTAGCATGTAGCACGATACATGGTAGAATCATGTATCTGAAGAGACTGATGGGAAACTGAGACTGTGGTGACTATGAGGAGCTCCTCGTGGAGAACCTAAGATACTACTAGACCAGGTAAATTCAGTAATACTCTTTAGATGTGGCCTCTAGAGAGACATTCAATACATTTGAAGTCTGTAGCTCTGGATAGAAGGAGTCTACAAAAACACACATATCCACTGGTTGACACAGGTGGGATAAGGAGCAGGTTTACATGAGTTGCATACGTATGCAGCTCTGGGTGACTCTATGCATCACTACATGTGTTAGTTACAGATCGCACCACCAAAACCATGCAGAAGCAACAGTAGATTACCGAAACACTGATGGTGTTGATGGCCTGTCAAGAAGAAATGGCGACATGTTCAATTTGTGGTCTTGAAAAGAAAAAGTCCAGTCATGTTTCTCTCTACACAGCCACATTTGGGGTTTAGGTTGTCCCTGATTCCTAACTTGAGATTCAGAAACAAATGCCTAATGGAATATATGATACAACCATAAACCTTATCACTTTAATATTACTCACCTGGAAAGCATCCAGAAGCTTCCCATTAAAGTCAATGATGTCCGATGAGCCTGGGGCACCTTTTTCACCAGGATAACCCTGAGGTGGAGACAGAGAAGATGAATGCAATATAAATGAACAACTAAAGATAACACAAGTGGTCAATACAATAACCGATTGGTTATAGAGGGCTAACCCTCTGAATAATGCACATACCATGGATCCCTGTGGTCCTTGCTCTCCTGATGCCCCTTTGTCACCCTGGGTGATGCACATATGCAATTTTAAGGCAAACCTCTTTTAGACATTGGATATTTAACACTGTTATGTATCATAAATGTAATGTGTTTGTATGTTTGTATGGTCATTGTAACAAATCTGAGTTGTTTTTTTTTCAGAATTCTGACCTTTGTAAAAGTTAGCTCTAAAATCAGAATTCAGAGTTTAAAGTCAAAACTCAAAAAAATGTTTTTTTTACAGTGGCCCTAATCCTCTTCCACATGTTTTGACTAAGAAAAGGTCATTACTGATGTATGTATTGTTTGATGTCAGACAGATGTATCTCACCTTTAATCCTGGGAGTCCATCCATGCCTCGCTCTCCCTTTTCTCCCATACCTGGCTCGCCCTTTGTCAATACACAAACATTCATGGTCAATACATGCAAGAGACTTTCATATAAAAGAACCTGTGTCTGAGACATGATTACTGATGAGTAAAACTTATCGGTACCTTTGCCCCTGGAGGTCCCTGTGGACTCATCAGCCTACCTTTGCCCCTGGAGGTCCCTGTGGACCTGGATAGCCAGGTTCACCATCTTCTCCCTGTTAGTTTATAAATGTCATAAGTACAAACTTTTGGCCTCGTGTTATTTTTCTGGTAAACAGTAGAGTTTGGCAAGAAAGTCAAAAATATTTAAGACAATTTAGCTGAATCAAGACTGATTATCCACAAGCAATCTTACCGGCTTCCCAGGCAATCCCTGTGGCCCCTGAGGCAGAAATACCATCACGGTTACCGTAATTAACCAGAGAAAGACAAATCATCACCACAGACTTATAATAATACTGAACAAAAATCAAACTGCTTGAGCAATAAAATCCTCAAAATTTATATCTGAGCTACACTCACCTCAACACCGTCCCGACCTGAAAAACCCTGAGGACAGAGGAGAAACTTAGTTAACGATCTCAAATGCAGGTAAGAGTTAAGCTACTTTGCCCACCAGATGTCAGTATTCAACAAGGTATGACCAGTCCATGGACTCATTCATAGCTGGAGAACTTAGAGAAACTAGGGGATTGAAGAAACAACCTGGAAAAATGAGTGGAGCAAAAATAACAAACACAAACAATCACTGAATGCTTTGATGGGTGTGAAAATGATATGAATCATATGCCACCAGATCTCGTAGTCGAACAATGATGAGTGACGTTTGATTGGCACGTTTTGACAGTACAATACACTTCCACAGACTTGGGTAATTTACCATGGCTCTTTAATAGCCCAACAATAGTTTTATTTATTTAATTAATAACTCATCTGTATCGATTAACCTTTTTTTTTTCTTTAAACAGTTGCCTAGGGCTAACTATGAAGCTCTGGCCTGGTTTCTGTGTATGATGAGTGTTAAGCCTCAGCTCCACTGAAGACAAACACAGACATTATTACACTTTCTGGCATCTGTCCCTCATTGATTTGGTTTATTTAGGTAAACAGACCTGGCTGTTTGTGAAGGTCAGGTGGAAGTGTGCCGGGAGCAGCTACACATCTGCTATGAAGTCATCCACAGCAGAGACAGCTTAGTGGGATCTTGCACAAGAGTGCTCCATCTCTTCTCTTTTCACTGATCTCTCACACAGACACACTGCTCTCAAGTAGTTGTTTACTTGATCATTCAGTGCTGTACTGTAATAAATGCATGACATAAGCTGGAGGTTATTAGCCTTCCGCTCTGTCCTCATATTTTACAATAATGTGCAGAAGCTACTTGGATGTTTCCCAGCTGGGTTTCTTCCTCTTGCTCTCTGACAGCACATACAAACTGTCATCCTGATCTCCTCCACTGCTATGTGGTCCTCGTTTATTTCCATCCTGAAGATGTCTTTCAAAATCTTTTCTCGCCCCTCGTCTTTTGATTTCCCCCCACAGCAATGGGAAACAAATTACTGTTGTATTTCATTTTTAGAAGTTCATTTATCCTGAGTGCAGAAAGGCACAGATGAGGAGCAATTCAGCTTAGTTTGAACTGTCGTTCCTTTACTTCTCTCCACTTCACAGATATAAACAAGGTTCTGAGGACACCCATGCAGGCAGGCTCACTTTCTCCTGCTCAGTGTTTCCTACACTCAGACATCTGCCCACAACATGGAGCAGTTCTTAGAGTCCCTTGGCTTTGTTTTGCTGTTTTGGGTTGTGCAATGCCCTTAATCAGCTTGGAGAGTACATTTGAAATACACTGTGTTATAGGTCCAAGTTTCTTAACCTGTCTGCTCATTTTCTGAGCTGTGTTGGTTTTCTTTTTATTTGTTAGGCCTGCATAAATTTTAGATTCACCCACACGAAAACCGCCATTTTTCACTTGAATCCCTTTACTGTCCTGTGCCAGTAAAAAGTAACAGAGCATTAACTCCTACACTTGGATAAACAAAAATGATCCTCTCTGCCACCTTCTCTCTCTTCCACTTCCATCTTATAACCACAGGTTTAAGCTGCAGCTTATGAACTAAACTCTGGGAAACACAAAGTTAATTTTGAGAAACATAAACTGCCTCCGGCAACGAGGACGACTATTGTTTGGTGAAGGTGGCAAACTGCCCATGAACTCGCCGCAGTGCCATATCTGGTTCAGGGGTGCACATCGACACAGCCGTGGTCGGAGGGTGGGAGAATGAGGGTGTGCTGGAGAAGTCTGTGGCTGCTGTCTTACACAAAACAGATGAGGCCAGGAGTAGAGTTGCTATTCTGGGAGTTTTTAGGTAAGCCACAGCAAAAATGGGAATATGGGTCGAGTGCAATATTCTGTGTAGACCTCCCCGGTATGCATGATGCATAGAAATGCACACTCAGAGCACAGAAACTCAATTTGCAATTTGTCACACCCTGCAACTGAACCTTACCAGGTTGACACAATTAGAGTAACACCTCCCGATGACTCAGGTGTTTTAAATGACCACATTCTTTGTGGTGTAACCTTAGTTTAAGGGTGTATAAAATGGAGTGATTGTTGGAGGAGGAGAATAACAGCAACTAAGAGGAATGTGTGGGTGTATATAGTTGTGTTACATTGCCTTGTTTTATATAGCTGGTGTATATTGGAGTGTACAGAAGTTCTTACTGGTTCTCCAGCAGGGCCACGAGGCCCGTCCTTTCCCGTGTTCCCAGGGGGGCCTCGGGGACCGGGGGGACCTGGAGGACCTGGGGGACCAGCGGGTCCAGTCTGACCCTGGTCACCCTGATTAAAAAACAAACAGACAGAAGAATGAGGGGATGAAATACCAGGATGTGCTATCTTGCAATATGACAGAATTCAAACATGTGACATAGCAAATATTCAGAATATATTTCTTGAACAAGGATTAATGCTTATGTGACTACTCGGATGCTGCAGAAGCAAATTGTGAACACAAAACTGATGTATAATTTTTTTAAGTTGGACATGGTAAACAAACAGTTGTCTGCAGCACATACAAAGCAATGTTAGCATTCAAACCAAAGCCATGAGCTGAAATGTTAAAATGCTCCACAGAACCGAAGGAACCACTGAGTCAGGTGGTAATTTTCTATGGGTTCATCACTATGATTGCATAAATACATTTGATCCACAATTAATATAAGAAACATTTTAAATACAATCCATAGAACGAACCATAGACCTTACTGCAACAATCTATTGTTTCAAATGAGGAGTTTCTTTTCTCTCTATGCTTTATCAAACAACAGCAAATGTCACCTCATATTAAAAGACCTTTCAAAACTCAATTTAGATCTATAAGAGATGCAGTATGTTTTTTGTGAAGACTTCCACCCTCATGTTTATGCCAAACAGAAAACATTAATGCCCTGCACCCTCACATCTCCACAGACAAATGACACATTATAGTTTGCTTTGTTGGAACAACAAGCCCATGCATAACAAAATGATACCACCACAGCAGACGACAACATAACTTTCTTGCATTATTACATTTCTATTAAGCTCATCCTTGACCTTAACTGTCAACAACAAAGTTCTACTATTCCCTTTTTAAAAAGAAGCACATTTTTCTTGAGTCATTCCAAAATGTGCGTTGTTCATCCTTGAAGATGTTTTCCTAATTGCCTGGTTGCTGTAGAACCTTTATACAGACAATTTCACCTGATCAGTCATGCTATTAAAATTAAACAAACCAGTATGCACAGGAACATTATGAAGAAAAAAAATCTTCAATCATGAAATCCAAGTGGAGAAAAGTGAAAAGGTGAGAAAGAAGGGAGATGCATGGCTGAGGAAATCTGAATAAGAAAAGATTAGTTAAACTGTTAAAGGTGCACACATGCCTTAGCTGTGCTCTACCTTCATAATGAGTCTCTGCTGAAAGCTGTTGGACTGCTCTCCAGAGAGAAAGCCATGGTTATATCGGGGAAAGACCATCTGAGATGCAAGAGAGAAAGACAGAGAGGAGGGAAAGGGAATAACGAAAAAGAGAAGGAAGGACATGGAGTGGACTAAAATGAGACAGAGAGGATGAAAGACATAAGTAAGAAAGTCAGAAATCCACTGCCAATTCTACAAGGGCGGAAACAAGTTCTGCAGAAAACAAAACGCTGAGTTCAGCAGCTGTAAGCCAAAAGAGAAAGTTTAAGAAGAGCATTTTGCTCCTCTGTCTGCAGGGATAGTGACAGAACAGCAGCCTGACAGACAGCGGTGGCTGCTGGGAGGACCATGGATAAATTAGCTGGAAGGGACAAACCTTGACGGTGAGAATCTGATTACTGTGCAGACCTGCATATGTGCTGTAGTTAGGAGGACCCTGGACACAGGAGCAACAAATAGGAAGGTGAGCAACTTAGTATACCAATATAGTTGAAAAGGACACTGACATACTCTGTAGATTTAATGTATAGAAGAAAAAGATATTTCATAAAACCTAAAGCGAGATCCAGCAATTGTCCCCTTTGCCCTTCAATAATATATCATTTCACATTCAAACGTGCATATAATTGTGTGTTGTGTTCCATTTCATGTCCTCCCATCCTTCCCTTTGCGACCAAACCAAACAGAAGTGGCTTGTAGTGCTTTCCAGCCAACTGTGATGATTGTCTGTCAAGCTGAAAGAAGCATTTTGTCTGCCGCCAAAGAGCTCAGAGCACTGTGCAGCTGAGCTCCTTCCAAAAATGCATGGAAGGGAGGTCAGGATGGAGTGATGGGATGTAGAGAAGATCTAAGTGAGCAGGGACAGAAAACAGCAGGGGGACAGTAGGGAGAGAAAGAAGGAGAGATGCTAGTCTGGTCATGATGTTTCTGTTACCAGGCTGTGGTGAGTGCTGGATAGCGGAGGTTTTCCCAACACCGCAGACCCCTCCTCATCCTCCTCTCTTTGCCTATGCTCTTCTCTCCCCACTGTCACGTTCATGCATTCACTCTGTTCCTATCATGGAGACCACATACAGTATATGGTCCCTAAACATCTCATCAGAGAATAGGCTGTTTCACATTGGGTTTCCCCTTTACCTTGTTCTCATCAGACCTTAGGTTGATACTAAGACAAACCACCATTCAACCTCAGTGTCCCATGTAAGCATGGCCTTTATGTAGCTGCTCCAGGGGAGGCAAAGGAAGGTTTTGACTGCAAGTGAAGCTTCCATTAGCCGCCAGACGAACCTAAGCATGCACTGACAGTCTTCCTCTGTATGGATTTGACAGTATGGGGGCTGGGAACAGTGGCTACCAGCTTCATTCCTTTAAAAAAGTTGCTTTATAAACAGTGCATGACACATGACCCATTGTCACATAATTCTGGTGGTTCTATAACATCTGATTGTGTTTTAAGACGCCCATTTTCCTGTGTTTGTAGTCATCCTGGGACCAGATTCAGCCTGACAAAGGCACTGAAGATGATAGACTGAAAGGAAGCCACAGGTTAACAAAGATTCATGGCCACTTCCTGTTTTTACATATATTCTATTATCTTCCAGAGGTGAAACAGCGTTCATGTTGAAATCAGGGAAAGGTAATAACTGAGCTTATGAGCTGGGATGATACCTCCAACCTCCCACCAGCCTTTGTCTGCTCAGCCTCAGTGACCCTTTAGAGCTTTGATTCAAGGCTGTTAAAGTTTCATTTTAAACATTCAGAAACAGTTTTTCATTTGCTAATATATTGCGCCGTATCTATAAAAATGTACCCCTGAGTCAAACCTCATTCACAGCTACAGTAGTTTTAGGAGCTGTACGGTTTGTTTTGAACCAAGCCTGAGTTTCTAAGTGATACTCAGAGGTTTTTGGGCTGCAGCCTTATCCAAGGATATCAAAGCTCTTAGAAACCTCTTCCAAGTGTAATATTTACCACTTGGAGGAACTATGTACGGCAGAATCCCAAAAAGATTTAAAAGGAGAAAGGGCCTCGTGCTCACAATCCAAAACGTCCAACAAATCCAGAAGGCCTTAAGATGCTTTTGAAGTTGAACCGTGACAAAAATGAGAAAAATTACTTCAGACACTCTTAGGTAGAGCATGGAATATGTTTGAAAGCCTTTATTTAATCGGGCACCTGAAGAAAAAAAAAAAAGCCGACCCATTTCGACCTCACCAGATCTTCAACAGAGGAGAAGCATATCAGATTTAAAAATCCAAAAGGTTTCTCTTTGTTTAGACGATCACCCTTTCAGATGGTTGGTTCAATAGCTTCTATTCCTTCAGGCCTCGATAGACTATCACTACATGAGTGATGTTCAACAAAATGCTGTGCCATAGGATAACACGTAATATTCGTTCTAATGACATGTTTATGTTCAGTCTGTCTTTCAAGCATCTCTTTTTTTTGTGTTCAATATAGAAACAGAAGGACAGGTGAGGCGATACAGGGAAATCAAATGGGTTTATAGGACTCAGGCATGCCTGTAAAGTTTCTGAAGCATACCATAAATACTGTTCTGCTGAGTAACCACGTCAAATTTATACTCTGCTATAAAACAATTACCCCTCAGTTTCACGCCAATATGCTTATATGCCAATACCGTCAGGCTCCAACTTTCAGAAGAGTTATAAGTGAACATCCATTTTCAGGTATTATTCTAAATCATTTCTTTTGTTGGGCAGTTGCTAAAGAATGTTAATGAAGACAAAATGGCTTATGTCTGTCAAAAGGAACATCTGTAGATTTTTTTTTTTAAATATTTTGTGTTTTACTGTTCTGAAAGTGTTTCACAGTCAGAGTCTTGGACCTTATAAGATGGACCACAGCCAATATAAAAACTATTAGGTAACATCTTTTGTCTGATATAGACAGTTATGGTACCGTTATGTACATGAAGACCATTATCTAGACGGTCACTGTGTGCATGGGAATTTCTACAGTTTGAATTCTTCTGCATTTTTCCTGCTTTGCATTTTATTCCCACTTTTATTTCCATGTGATGAAGAATGATACTTTGAATTTAAAATAACTAAGAAGCCTTCAGATTTCATGGGGTGCTAAACTTCTTCAGAGAATCCATGCTGCTTACCATGTAAAGCACAGGGGGCTTATGTTCCAACCACAGTGAATGAAGTTGTAGATAATTACATAGATCTCATGGTGGGTGGAACAATATCAAATGAAAAGACAACACTGAGAACATGGACCAGATGCAGAGCGAGGTTGCCTCATAATATTAAAAAAATCATAGTTTGGTAGAGATGAGATGGCAGCTGTGGTGCACGGCTCCAGCCATTGGGTTTTGATGGTGAGTTTTAAGTATTTCCATTGCTCTTTAATGTCATCGTTTCTCATCTCTGGCTTTGGGGATGTGGGTAACTCAAACCTCATCACAGACTGTGTTGTTGGTGCAGTTGCTAGGAAAGCTGCGCTTTTTTTCAAATCATTTAAATACTTTTCTCAAGTGTTGAATGTTGAATGTGCACGTACCAAAACTAGAGATCTTTTTTTCCCCCCACTAATTTGTGTCCCTGCAGGTCCATATTATTCAACAACAAGGAAATGACAAATAGTTTTGAGATATTCTAAACTTTCTATGATGTTTTATTGCTCTGTCTGGTCTGGGTTTGAACCTCGGGCATTTTTCCCCAGTAGTCCTAAGATACATTTCAATTCAGGTCATTTGTAAAGTCCTATGTCTAGTTTTATTTGTGCATGTCATTAACTTGTGCAGGTTCTCTGTGACTCTCTCTCTTTCTCTGTGAAAGTTTTTTTTGAAGTGAGTTTAGTGAAAAGATTGATAACACTCTCAGGTCTGTGAATTCAGTAAGAAGCTACAGACAACAGTTGGTTAGATTAGTGTAAAGAATGGAAGCAGAGGGAGACAGTTAGGCTGGCTCGGTCTAAATATCCAGCACCTACAAAGCTTAATGATTAATGCTTTATATGTTTTTTTAGCTGCATTAAAGCCAAGCTGTGGTTTTATGAGGAGGTTTTGTGCTGGACTATCTCAGGTGCAGTAAGTGTTACCTTTGGACAAGTTAATTGCTGCTGACTATACAGTAGCCTCATATTAACCAGGCAGACATGAAAGTGATAATGATCTTCTCATTTACCTCTTTTCAAAAAAGTGAAAAAGTTTGCTTTTGTTATGCACAACTTTTGACTTTTGTTGGACTTTTGGTCATTTTTTGGTGAACCTGTTGTTTTAACTTTGCATCCTTTAGCTTGACCTCTTGAAAATTAGAAAAAAAAGGTGGCTGAGAGACAAAACAAAAAAGAGAGGGCAAAAACTGGAAGAAAGACTTAAATGGAAGCTCATTTTTAAATTGTTTGGGAACAAAATGCAGTTAAAGAAAAACTATATTTTTTCAGTCAGGTCAGTTGTAGTGAAGAGATAACTGCATCTCATTTAACCATCTCAGGCAAAGTCAGAAAACTTAACTTACCCTTGGCCCAATGTCTCCTTGGTCACCCTGGGAGAACAACAGGAAAATGACAATTGTCAGCAGTTATTAGCACTATACATGCATGCAGGACCAGTCATGCAATAGGATGCTGTAGAGCAGCTGTGACAGACAGACTGAAAAATGAATACTTGTGTACAGGAAGGAAACGACTTGAAGGTCATCTGTCCATGAGCCAGCTCAGGATGTCGACATTTACTATACAAATCACTGGAGAGTATGCAATCAGTTAGGCGAAAGCAGGAGTGCATGCGCTAAATACTGTTGCTTCTCTGATGAGTATCTGGAGGTCATGTCCTCATCGCAAAGCTACTAGCGTGATTACATAAAGGGCAGCCCATTTTCCAAACCTCAGCATCATCTGTCATTCACAATGCCTGCTCATCAGTCCGAATCCTGCTCTGACAGATGCTGTTTACTGCAGCTGCATTGTTTTTGTGCTTATGCTTATCAATTTTTGCTTGAGTTCAGAAATGTACACACACAGTGCACACACAAAGGACGAGCCAGCTCTGCCTCCTCCTGCAGCCTTTACATTTGCTAACATCTTGTGCTGGGCAGAAGTTCACACAGTGGGAAAACATCTGCAGACGGCCTTCAAGCTTGTTCAATGCCTTGACATGAAAATGTGTGGACACGTATGAGCTCCTACATAACTACATGTAGGATGCTCTATAGCTTGTTTGGTAGATGCACAGTGACATGAATGTGGCAGGGTGATGGAGGGAACAACTGTGAGATTGGGTGTGCATGTGAGCTTGCGCTGGTGTTCTTCTGAAGATGTCTCTCTTTAAATGAGTGTGAGAAATACAGTACATCTATATGAAGTGCTGCTAAAATTCAGTTTGTAGCATACCTTTTCTCCCTTGGGTCCAGCTGGTCCCTGTAAGAGGGGGGAGATAATTGGAGTCGATCAAGATAAATCAGTTATCACATGAGCAAAATACAGCATAACACAAAACATCTTCAGCTGACCTCCAACAGGGAGTAAACAGCAAGACAAGGCAGTAATATCACTTAATGCAGTGGTGATATTGAGATGGCCCCCTCACATATGTCTGAGCATATTTCACAATAAGAAGACCACATGACATGAGCTGGCAGCGGGAATGCATTTTAAGATTTCACTTTGTGAGGTGAAAACTGTTTTATTGCTTCTTTGTATCTCTACCAGTCATTGTCTCAGATGGGAACACCTAATATGTTTTAGAGTATCAAAACAAGCCTGTGCGCTCACATATACCATACAGTATATCAAGCACTGCCACAGACTCATGCTTTGTGTTGGACAGTCTTATGAGCACCAGGCCCACATCTGAGCTAATCCCCGCTAGTCTGGCTGTGTGGTGCCATTCGTCCATCTCTGTGTCTGCCTGTCTCAGTCTGTCCGCTGCTGACGAGTGGCACGAGGACACCAAATGCGGTGGCACCACAAGCCACAAACTGACAGATGGCCCTCTGCGACTATGACAGAGACACACAGAGAAGACCAAATGGGAACTTATCACCAACCATATCTAATCTCAGCCACAGCAGTGGGCAGATTTGACCTCTTTCAACCCAGCTGTACTTTATTGTAAGCTTCTTTACGTCTCCATTCTCCAAAACTGTCTATTCTTTCACTCACTCTGTACATTACACACCCGTTCCCTCTTCCTGCTTTTACTCAGTTCCACTGTCTCTAAATCTGCCATGCTATCTGCCTTGAAGTCTCCCTCTGTAATTCGTTCCAACTTTCCTCACATCTTCTATTTCTGGCAAATGCTTTGACTGAAGCTCTAATTCTGTTCAGAAGTACAATGCTGAAGAGCTTGTTCAGTGGAGGGGATAAGCTGTTTGCTAATGTGACTGGCCACGTGATGACAGGCAGCAGCTTATCTCCCGCACCACTTCTTAGTTTGTACCTCCTTTTCAAGTTAGCATCTAATTCTACAGCCAACACAAACAGATGCTGTACAGTCAAATATTGTTCAAACACACAGAACTATTCTTCAAACTCTCTTTGAGGTTCAGACGTTTCTAAAGATACTAAATATCAGGCTGAGCTTTAGAGAATCTCCTGATGCACAAAGTATCTGAACATTTTCCATTTGATGATTCAGTGCAAACATCCTAAATCTTTAGTGAAAAGCTGATGTACTACATATAATACTGTACATGTCATACTGCCAGAGTCTGCGATGATTTTTATAACCCTTAGAGCTACTTAAAACAAATGTAGATGTTAAAAACTAAAGCTAGACATCAGGTTTATGTTCTGTTGTAGTATTTTTTGGCAAGAATGTGAACTTATAGAAGTTCAGAACATTTCAGTTATCATATAATGCAAAACATTTTTACTCTGCACATAAAAATTGTCCACTTTGAATGGTTACTTACTGGAAGGTTTCCAGAGCTTTTCAGCTACCTTCCATTCTATGCTCATCCTTCATAACACTCACCATAGTGATTTCAAACTGTTACTTTTACACAGAATATCAAATAGTCACACAAATAGATGCTTGCATAGAAATATGTCAGTGACAAAAACATATTTCTTGCGAGTACAAATCAATAGTGTTCTATTCTTGCCTGGTTGACTGTTTGTTCTAGACTCTGGGGGATCAGCCTATCTCCTATCTTCATGTGAGTCTATGCCCAATGAAAATGGTTCACATCGCAGGAGTCTAATATCCAAAAGTCTGTGTTGTTCAATTCAATATATTTTGTTATTCATTTCCATTTGTTTTCTCCTTATTGAAATAAGGAGAAAATAAAATGTATTTTTAAATCAAAGCATAGAAAACATAAAGAATGACCGTCCTGACATGGAATAATGAAAAAGTACATTGATCCTTAAAAGACTTTTGCTAAAATATTTGTTTATTGCAGGTTTTTATTGTGGCCCATTTTAACATGCTGCCTATTTTCCAGACTATGTTATGGGTAAAATGGGCCAGCAATAATTTTATTTTCAGAGAAATGTATACATTTTTAAACAGACTTCATCATGATATTGAATCTACGACACTGCATCATCAAGTTGTTTTCATTAACCTATTAGCCTTATAATGAAAATGCACTTTTAGCCTGCTGGAGACAGTCTCAGTGTCAGGTACTGTCACGCACATGGTCGCATCCTTTGACCAATAAAATTAATTTCTACTCATCAACAAGTGTTGTGGGAACAACATGAAATGTCGGTCAGTGACTGGCTACCACAGTTTAAAACTCCAGGACGTCCCAGTCTTAAATGGCCCATTTCACTTAGTTTTCTTCTACTTTAGTTCACGTTCCTTTGTAAACTTGTGCTTCTCTTGTGTTCTTAGTTTATGGGAAACGTATCCTACATCCCTCGAGTACCTAGTCTGCTCATGAGGTCTGTGTCACACCTGCTGTGGTTTTACTGCAAGCTCTCTGTAATGAGGAGAGCTCTCTTAAAGGACAGACGCAGCGTGAGGTCTCCTTTAGCAGGAAACAACAGGTTAATGGCATTCAGAGAGGAGCTAGGGACACTGTTTTCATTATGCTGAGGTGTTTATGTTTCAGCAAATAACTAGTTGTTTGCTCACCAGGCACAGCGACCAGGGAGAATGGATGAAGGAGGGGGTCATGGGTACTGTTATGACTTTTTAAAGAGTGTCTGAAAGTTATAAACTCTAGTCTCACTGGTGTGAAACCCATTTGCTCCGCTTCTCCTGTTTCCATGCTACACCTGGGTGTGTCTGGGAGTATGGCTGGGTTTCAACAGAAGGGCAATAGATGACGCTCTGTATAGGGGATTTCAGCACCCAATTCACTTGAGCCCTAGGATGACTAAAGATGTGGAACAGGAAACAAGATGGCCACCCTGAGATTTTTACTCACTTGCAGAGTTCCCTTAGAAACCGTAAACATGATGAAGAATAGCAAACCATCACCTGCCTTACAGGCCAAATACCCACCTGGATTCACAGTTAGAAAACCTTTAACCATGACCTGTTTTAGTGTAACTGATACGTGTTACTGGAAAACCAAAACAAGACAATAGGCGTGTAATACCTGGCTTCCCTTGGGACCTGGTAAACCCTGATATGAAAGAGGAAACAAAAAACAGAAAATGTGAAATAAACTCAAGTCAGGCACTTAAAGTATATTTTACAAATTTAATTTCATGTATACTCACTGGCTTGCCATCCAAGCCAAGTGGGCCCTGTTGAAAGGAAACACAAAGACAAATCAACATGCTGTTGGAAATACACTTTGTTTTCAGCAGATAAATATGGAGATTGATACCATTCTCTAGCAAAGACTCTCTCTCTTTCTCTCTCTCAAACTCATCAAATACATAACTCTTCCATTTATTCAGGCCACCTGGAAATAAACCTTTGAGATAAATAAGCCAAAATGTTTCTCATTTACCTGAGAAAACTGACATTAGCTCTTCTCTGACTGGACTTAATCACCTCTATCTATAAAAATGTATTTAAATGCAATGATAGATTTCACTGAAACATCTTGCAACAGGACTAGTTACATAAAGCCTCTTGGTGGAGCTTCTATGTTGACTGATATGCTCTTGGAGTGTTTCTAGACTTTTAACATTAAGGCAGAGCATCAATATTAAGGATTTTTATTACCTATAAAACAAACAAAATGGTCTCCCTGTTGTGTCTGTTTCTGGCTTAGCTGGATCAGTTAACTCTAAGCAAGAAGGCAAATAACTCCAGACATGTACAGTAAAACTGACATCTTCTGCAAGGCTGCTGTGAATAAAGAATATGATTAAGACACTGTGAAGAGACTATTTGTTTTAAATCTTCCCCCTTTAAAACATCGTAAACTGTCTGTTGGCTCTTAGTATTTCATAATGTTTGAGCCTTGTAGTCAGGAAACAATGTGAATGATTTTAGCTTAGGAAACAGTTCAGTGGATTTGGAAAGATATCAAGTGAGGAGAGTAAAATGCTTGCTTGTAAATAACAGAGAAGAAACAGCTGCAGTAAATGGAAAGTTTAGTATACAGAGTAGAAAAATGAAGAAAGCAGTTTTATGTATATCCTGCCCCATTTCACTGTTAATGTGTGTGTGTTTGGGTGCACACGTAAGACTCAGATATTTAGATGTTTCCAGGTCTTTGTGGCGTAAAACGACTGACCATGGGTGGATTTAGTCCGGTGATATTAATCTGCCACATAAACTCTCTCTCTTGTGCGTGTATTTTTGTGGTGATGAAATAATCCAACAGGCAGTTAAGTATGAAGTCCCCATCTAAACTCACCAAAGTGCTGAAACAGCAGTTGAAGTTGTCCACTTTGTTTAGCTCAGTAAAAACAGCCGAGTAAGTCAGTGAACCTCTTCTGAAAAGCAACTCTCAGTTCAAAGGCACGAACCTTTAGATCCTCGCTAAACATAAAGTAAAAGCTGGCTCTTGGATCAGACTTTCCACAAACACTTACATGTGATGTATATAGTAAAGATTAATGTTGACTTCCTCTCTAATGACCGCACTCCATGTTAAGCTAACAGTTTTCACAGGGTCCCTTGAGTTGTGGGTCGCTCAACCCTTCACAGTGCTGGTGGTTCTGCAGACTGGAAACTATCGTTAACGGTCATCAACTCTGGCCTTGGATGGCTTACATAAGTATGGCTTTTCTCTTCGTCTCCCTGCTTCGCCAGCCCCATGGGTACCATCTGGCCTGAGGTCCTAGTGAAAACCTACCACAGTGTCATTGCTGCCTGGTGTGATGAATGGCTAGTAAGCCCATAAGGAAGAATGAAAGGGGAGAAAAAGAAGGGAGGAGGTGATATATAGAGCTGCTCTCATTAATAGTGGTCATGTACTGCCCTTCGTTTAGTCTTGTAATGGGGCCGCATGGCTATAAACTCTCATAAACCTAAGTGGTCAGTCTGTATAAAAAAGGTTCATAAAAATATGGAGAAACGTCTTTGAGGCTGCTGATGTGTTTTTGATTAAGGGCTCCTTGTGAAATCTGCAGTAGGTGGCTTAGACTGGGTGGAACAAATGACTGAGACCAATCAGAGGGCAATAACTTCACCATGACAGAGGGTGAGGATGTACTGCTTGGTAGCTCTTTCAATGGATTCCACATATAGTGCAAGACAAGATGTAGTTTAATCAATATTAAATACAGTACACTGCGTTTCACTGAGCCTGCAAACATCCCAGTACGTTTTGCTTGCCATCTGTGTTCATGCCTCTAGATCTATGTAAGGGTATTCTCTTATGTGTGTGTGTGTGTGTGTGTGTGTGAGCTGGGTGATATTTCTCCATCTGGGAGTGTTTATCGGGGCTCGGCTCCTTCAAGACTCGTCAGCATGAGTAGGTGAGCTGATCGCAGTGAGGTCACTGGCTGCTGCCGAGTCTGAACTGGAGCAAAAAACATAGATTTATGGCCGATAACAAGCCCCATAATGACCTGTGAACTGTAGGTAATACTGCATGTGTGTCCCTTCTTTTGTGAAGATGTGTGTGTATATGTATTTGGTATCAAATATAGAATAAGTTAGGACCCAGAATTTGTGAAGTATAGCTACCCAGAGCAATAGATAAACTAACAATACAGCAATCCAGGAAGTTCTTCTATGACTGATAACAAGATACTTTAAAGTCTATTAATCTAAATCAGCAGAAGAGGCAAAGGAGAACGTGGGGCTGAAAAGATCTATATGAATAACAACACATGAAACACAGGAGCTATATGGGATCCAATTTTGATGCATTGCCCTCAATATGTTCTGTGCTTTTCTTTCTTTATAGCTGCATTGTTTTATTGCACCTCTTCCATGGTACAAACCCGCAGTAAAAGACAGACTGTAAGGCAGGAAAAGAGCAGGAATTCATATAAAAACTAAAAAAAAAGAGAGAGACCCTGCTAAAATCTCTTCATCTCATACCACAAATGGATCAGGCAGAGGAACAATGAAGAAAAATACTGAGACAACATTTATTATTACCACCAAAACCTCAGTTGGATCCAGGGGAAAATGAAATAATGCCTTTTGTGTGCATTTCTAGTCATTATTCTAGTCCTGCAGATTAAAAAAAAATTAACTTAGCATCCCCACTAATTAGATGGCTTGTAAACACGTTTCTGGAAAACAGTTTAGGCTGGTGGACATAGTTCTCTGTCCACATAAGTGCATGCCGATACACACCCATGAGCCTGAGAGTGCCTGTGCATGTCTCTTAATACCAATGAAACAGGGCGAGGGCTGTCTTTACTTTACCTGTGGTGCAGACTGGTGATTATCCAGTAGGTTTTAATTGGTGAGGATGCACATGAAAAGTAGATGTTTGCACATCAGAGCAGCTACTTCAGCTAGAAACAGACATGGCAATGTGTCGCACACGTTAGGTTCAATGAGCGTAATTATGTGACGCCAAACTTAAAGAATATGCAGAGGGTGAGAGAACCCTTTCCTATCTGCTCGTTCTACTTTTCTTTCTTTTCTTGCTTGGTTCCTCCTTTTGTTTTAGCTTTCATGCTGCTGCTGTGACAAAAGTCTATATGAGGACTACATGACATTTGCTTATTTGGGAAAAAAAAAAGTGGCTGCATCCAGACCCAAAAGCACAAAAGGCATACCAGAGTGCTCTGTGTTGGGTGACTCTCTGGCTTTAATCTGTTTTCAGAGACCAGGAA